CTGTAGATGTGAAGCGATACTGTTATTACGACTGCTCGGAATGAATGCTCTGCTTAAACTAATAATAGCCTTGACTGGGGCTTAACACGCAGCCCACACATGGACACCACTTATCGCCGCTTCCGCCACTCTCTGATTGATTTATTAGAAATTATTAGAGAAGATGGAGAATGGTTCCCCCTGTGCTGATCTGCTGTGAATTGTAACTCAAGAGCAGGTTACGAAGATTTGGACCCTACCTCTCCTGACGAAACAATGTCAACCGACGCGCGAAAAGGCTGGAAAGTGAAACAATTGTTTTCACTGGAGAATTTCAGAAAGATGAAAAGAGATTGTTTGCTATAAAGCAAAACCGGAGGCAGTGGAGCATGTGCAATAACACGCACACGTATGTAGCATACTTACACATTATAGCAAACTTCTTAGTTTGCCCAACAGCGCCAGCAGGTCTGCGCTCCCCGTCGCCACTTGGTTGCCACTTCTGTCATCGTCCCTGTCCCTTCTTCTGCATCTGATGTCTTCTTTCTGTGGCCACCCAGTGATAATGTAATAATGTGCGCTGCGGTTACAATATCCTGGCATCTGACTCCATTTCTAACAACTGAAAGGGCTCATTCACACCCAGCAACCGAGCATCATATACACTATATTGCCAAATGTATGCACACACATGACCTTTAATGGCCTCCCAGTCTTGGTCCGTAGGGTTCAATATTGAGTTGGCCCCGCCCTTTCCACACACATGACCTTTAATGGCATCCCAGTCTTGGTCCGTAGGGTTCACTATTGAGTTGGCCCCGCCCTTTCCACACACATGACCTTTAATGGTCTTCCAGCCCTAGTCTGTAGGGTTCAATATTGAGTTGGCCCCGCCCTTTGCAGCTATAACAGCTTCAACTCTTCTGGGAAGGCCGTCCACAAGGTTTAGGAGGGTGTCTATGGGAAGGTTGGACCATTCTTCCAGAAGCACATTTGTCAGGTCAGGCACTGATGTCGGGGGAGGAGGCCTGGCTCGCAGTCTCCGCTCTAATTCATCCCAAAGGTGTTCTATGGGGTTGAGGTCAGGACTCTGTCCAGGACAGTCAAGTTCCTCCACCCCAAACTGGCTCCTCCATGTCTTTATGCACTGGTGGGCAGTCATGTTGGAACAGGAAGGGGCCATCCCCAAACTCTTCCCACAAAGTTGGGAGCATGAAATTATCCAAAATGTTGCCTTAAGAGTTCCCTTTACTGGAACTAGGGGGCCAAGCCCAACCCCTGAAAAACAACCCCACACCATAATCCCCCCTCCACCAAACTCTACACTTGGCACAATGCAGTCAGGCAAGTACCGTTCTCCTGGCAACCGCCAAACCCAGACATGTCCATCAGACTGCCAGACAGAGCAGCGTGATTGGTCACTCCAGAGAACACGTCTCCACTGTTCTAGAGTCCAGTGGCGGTGTGCTTTACACCATGGCATCCGACGCTTTGAATTGCACTTGGTGATGGAAGGCTTGGATGCAGCTGCTCGGCCATGGAAACTTATTCCATGAAGCTCTCTACACACTGTTGTTGGGCTCATCTGAAGGCCACATGAAGTTTGGAGGTCTTTAGCTATTGACTCTGCAGACAGTTGGTGACTTCTGCGCTCTGTGCACTTCAGCATGCGCTGACCCCGCTCTGTCATGTGACGTGGCCTACCACTTGGTGGCTGAGTGGCTGCTGTTCCCAGTTGCTCCCACTTTGTTATAATCCCACTAACAGTTGAGCGTGGAATATTTAGTAGCCAGGAAATGTCACGGATGGACTTATTGCACAGGTGGCCACCTATCACGGGACCACGCTTGGAGTCACTGAGCTCCTGAGAGCGACCCATTCTTTCACCAATGTTTGTAGAAGCAGTCTGCATGTCTAGGGGCTTGATTGTATACACCTGTGTCCATGGAGGGGATTGGAACACCTGAATCACATGATTTGGAGGGCGGGGCCAATACTTTTGGCAATACAGTGTATTTTTTCTTTTCTTTCCTATTTTTTTCAGACTATTCCCTTAGATTCTATTGTATTTTTTTTCTTTTTTTTTCTATTATATTTATCTCTAGTCTATTTGAAATTCGAATTTCGAAAGACAGCTATATTCTTTTTTCTTTTCTATCCTAATTTTTTCAGGTTATTTCTTTAGATTCTGTGATATTCTTTTGAAAGACAGCTATATTCTTTTTATTTTTTTTTCTATTCTATTTTATTTCATTCTATTCAAATTTTGAAAGGCAGCTATAGTCTGTCTTTTTTTCTATTCTATTCTTTTTCCTTTTTATTTTCTATTCTATTCTATTTATTTTCAGGCTATTTCTAATGTATTCTTTTATTTTCTATTCTACTATTTATTTTATTCTATTCTATTTGAATTTCTAAACACAACGATATTCTTTTTATTTTTTTTTATACCATTCTGTTCTATTCTTTTTTTTTTCTTTTCTTTCATTTTCTATTCTTTTCTATTCTATTTTATTCTTTTCTATTCTGTTTTATTCTATTCTATTCTTTTTGAAATTCGGAAGATGTCTATATTCAAATACGAATACATACAGTCTTTGAAGGACGTCAGCAATATATTTACAGTTCGCATTTGTTTCTGAATCCGATTCATATGATCTCAAATGAAATTTTGTGTCATTCGGATTCGTTTAAATATATATTGGAATTTGGAATTTCGGATACAGCTGAATCTTTGGATAATGAAAGTTTCATCCAAATTTCGATTCGGAATTAAATGAACTACACGTCTAATCAAAAAGGAGATATGACCTGCATGGAGTTTGCATGTTCTCCTTGGGATTCCTCCCACACTCCAGAGACATGCTGGTGGGTTAGGCTCTAAAAGTGGCCCTAGTATGTGTATGTGAGATCGGGACCTTAGATTGTAAGCTCCTTGAGGGCAGGGGTTAATCTGAATGTACAATATATATGTAAAGCAAAGTGTAAATTGTCGGTGATACAGTGAAGGAAATGCGTATTTGCTCCCCTGCTGATTTTGAATGTTCGCCCCTCACAAAGAAACAATCGGTTTAAAAATCGAATGTTCGGTGTATTGTAACACTGAGAGACAGAATACAACAACAAATTCAGCAGAAATGCGTCTAACAAATGATGACTGATCTGCATGTTCATGAGGGAAATAAGGATTTGATCCCCTATCATTCAGCAGGATTTCTGGCTCCCAGGTGTCTCTCATACAGGTAACAAGCTGAGATTAGAAGCAGTCTCTTAAAGGGAGTGCTGCTAATCTCATTGTGTGACCTGTATAAAAGACACCTGTCCACAGGAGCAATCAAACCATCAGATTCCAAACTCTCCACCAAGGCAAAGACCAAAGAGCTGTCCAAGGATGTCAGGGACAAAATTGTAGACCTACACAAGGCTGGACTGGGCTACCAAACTATGGCCAAGCAGCTTGGTGAGAAGGTGACAACAGTTGGTGCAATCATTCACAAATGGAAGAAACACAAAACAAGTGTCAGTCTCCCTAGGTCTGGTGCACCATGCAAGATCTCACCTCGTGGAGTGTCAATGATCATGAGAACAGTGAGGAATCATCCCAGAACTACACGTGAGGATCCTGTCAATGATCTCCAGGCAGCTGGGACCACAGTCACCAAGAAAACAATTGGTAACACACTACACCGACAAGGACTGAGATCCTGCAGTGCCCGCAAGGTGCCTCTGCTCAAGAAAGCACATGTCCAGGCCCGTCTGAAGTCTGCCACTGAACATCTGAATGATGCAGAGGAGGACTGGTGGGAAGTGTTGTGGTCAGAGGAGACCAAAATCCAGCTCTTTGGCATCAACTCAACTCACCGTGTTTGGAGGAGGAGGAATGCTGCCTATGACCCCAAGAACACCATCCCAACTGTCAAACATGGTGGTGGAAACATTCTGCTTTGGGGGCGTTTTTCTGCTAAGGAGACAGGACAACTGCACCGCATCAAAGGGACGATGGACGGGGCAATGTACCCTCAAATCTTGGGTGAGATCCTTCTTCCCTCAGCCAGGGCATTGAAAATGGGTCGTGGATGGGCGTTCCAGCATGACAATGACCCAAAACACACGGCCAAGGCAACAAAGGAGTGGCTCAAGAAGAAGCACATTAAGGTCCTGGAGTGGCCTAGCCAGTCTCCAGACCTTCATCTGATTAAAAAATCTGTGGAGGGAGCTGAAAGTTCGAGTTGCCAAACATCAGCCACCAAACCTTAATGACTTGGAGAGGATCTGCCAAGAGGAGTGGGCTAAAATCCCTCCTGAGATGTGTGTGAACCTGGTGGCCAACTCCAGGAAATGTCTGACCTCTGTGATTGCCAACAAGGGATTTGCCACCAAGTACTAAGTCATGTTTTGTGAAGGGGATCAAATCCTTATTTCCCTCATGAACATGCAGATCAGTCATCATTTGTTAGATGCATTTCTGCTGAATTTGTTGTTGCTATTCTGTCTCTCAGTGTTACACCGAACATTCGATTTGTAGACCGATCATTTCTTTGTGAGGGGCGAACATTCAACATCAGCAGGGGAGCAAATACACATTTCCTTCACTGTATATACTGTACCTTAGTTATTATTATTGGGGACGGAGAACTAGGCTAGGTTCACACCTGTGCGGGTGTGTGTGCGCGCTGTGATATCTGCGGGCGCGCGTGCCATGATATCTGCGGGCACGAGAGCACATTCATTTGAATGGGCTGGGCTGCAGTGCCCCGGGGACACACAGGTAAGCAGTCCCTGCACTATGTTTTAAACCACAGCCCGCATCCAAGGTTCGCAGTACGGTTGCGATTTCCAGTGTGGGTGGTGCGCCATCAGAATTAATGGCACCCGCCCGCAGGTCCCGCATTTCTCTGTGCGGGTGGTTGCGGCTGCCGGTATTTGTGCGGGTCCCGCAGCGGCACCACCAGCACAGATGTGAACCGAATCTTAAAGGGTAAGTTCATACTACACACATAGGGTGTAACATGGTGTAAAACCTGGACCTAGGCTCCAGTGACACCATGCAGGTGCACGCATTTCCAGGCATCGCATGATGGGCAGCCCAGGGGCGGACTGACAACTCATGGGGCCCCCGGGCAATAGGGGATCATGGGGCCCCTGTGTCCTTGCCCAAACTCAAAAAAGCCTATGAAAAAGGTACTAGGGGCATCTCATGGGGCCCCCTACTGACCCCGGGCCCTCGGGCAGTGCCCGAGTTTCCAAATAGTCAGTCCGCCCCTGGGGCAGCCCATTCACTTTGAGTCACAAAAGAAGTCTTTGACCCTTTTGCAAAATGGCTCCGCACCGGTGCGCATGAATCACAGCAAAACTGAGATAAAATTAGTCCTGATTTGCGCAATCGTTTCAGGTCAGCGACTCGGAGTATTGAAGCCAGAGGCTCGGCATGCCATACAAGTAGCATTTTCTAGGAGGAGAAGTCGGCAGTGTCAGGATTCATGTCCCTCTCATTACCGCCGGAATAAAACATCGCGTCCCCGCTGTCATCCCCCCGCAGACAGGCGGAATAAAGCTTATCCCATCAGATATCTCGCCGTTTCGGCTGCCGGCACTTTTTAAAATTCCTCTCTCGCCGTGTGTTCAGTGACAAAGTGGATTAAAGTGAATGTGATAAGGAGGCACCTGTGCCCCCGGGGTTATCTGGAGCTGTCGATCACTCTACTACAGGCACCGATCGCTCCGTCTACATCCAGCGCGATGCGTCCGCCTCACTGATAATACGCTGCGATAGCAGCTGCGGCTCCTCTCCGCTCGCCATTACCTCCGCATCATCACCACTTACGCAGGTGACAGCTGCCCCCCGCTCCCGCCGCAACAGGACCTACCCCAATTAGCCCTTAAAGGGGAACGAGCCTCTTCCGAGGGATCACCAACAAACAATTCTCCCACCTGTGTGCCGTCCAGAGTCAGCCTTAAAGGGGGACTACCAGGAGTTTGAACACTTTTATTTTAGCTTTTTTTTTTTATTTAGTTAAGCAGTTTTCAAACTCTTCTATTTTCTTTTTCTCTCTCTAATTCAAATAAACTTTATTGGCAGGAGCAAATACATTTTAACAATGTCAAAGCAAATGAGGAATTGAGGTGTTATTGTGGGTTGAATGAGTGCAAGGGTAACCTCTAGAGGGAAAGGGCGATATGAAGGGGGAAGGTGAATCCAATCCCCCCCCATCCTCTATCTCTTTCTATCTATCTCTCTCAACCTCCCCCCCCCCCTTTCTTTTACTCTTTCTATTCCTCCCCCCCCCTCCTCATTCTTTCATTTCTCCCCCCTCTCCTCATTCTTTCATTCTCCCCCCTCTCCTCATTCTTTCATTCCCCCCCCACCTCCTCATTCTTTCATTCTCCCCCCCCCTCATTCTTTCATTCTCCCCCCTCCTCATTCTTTCATTCTCCCCCCTCTCCTCATTCTTTCATTCCCCCCCCCCCCACCTCCTCATTCTTTCATCCCCCCCCCCACCTCCTCATTCTTTCATTCTCCCCCCTCTCCTCATTCTTTCATTCCCCCCCCCCCTCCTCATTCTTTCATTCCCTCCCCCCCATCTCTTTTTCTCTCCCCTGTCCCTTTTCCTCTCTCATTCTTTGTCTCTATCTCTTTATTTCTCTTTTTCTCTCTCTCTTCTCCCCTCACTCCCCCTCTATCTCTCGTTCTCTCTACACCCCCATTCTCCCCATTTCTCTTTTTCTCCCTTTACCCCCCCCCCTATCTTTATTCCCCTCCCTTCTCTCTCTTCTTTCTTTATCTCTCTCAATCCGTCTCTCTCATTCTCTCTCTCTCTCTCTCTCACCCCTTCTCCCCCCCCTCCCCCCTTTTTTTTCTTTATTTCTCAATCCTCCCCTCTCTGTTTTGTTTTCTTTCCTCTTTCTTCCCCTCTGTCTCCCTCCCTCTCTCTCTCTACCCACCTTTCTCTTGCTCTGCCCTCTGTCTCCCTCCCTCCCTTTCTCTCTCTCTCTACCCCCCTTTCTCTTGCTCTCCCCTCTATCTCCCTCCTCTCTCTCTACCCCCCTTTCTCTTGCTCTCCCCTCTATCTCCCTCCCTCTCTCACTACCCCCCTTTCCTCTTGCTCTCCCCTCTATCTCCCTCCCCCTCTCACTACCCCCCTTTCTCTTGCTACCCCCTCTATCTCCCTCACTCTCTCTCTACCCCCCTTTCACTTGCTCTCCCCGCTATCTCCCTCCCTCTCTCTCTCTACCCCCCCTTTCTCTTGCTCTCCTCCCCTCTATCTCCCTCCCTCTCTCTCTACCCCCCTTTCTCTTGCTCTCCCCTCTATCTCCCTCCCTCTCTCTTTCTCTACCCCCCTTTCTCTTGCTCTCCCCTCTACCTCCCTCTCTCTCTACCCCTTTCTCTCGCTCTCCCCTCTATCTCCCTCCCTCCGTCTCTCTCTCTACCCCCCTTTCTCTTGCTCTCCCCTCTATCTCCCTCTCTCTCTCTCTCTACCCCCTTTCTCGCCTCGCTCTCCCCCTCTATCTCCCTCCCCCCTCTCTCTCTACCCCCCTTTCGCTTGCTCTCCCCTCTATCTCCATCCCTCTCTCTCTACCCTCCTTTCTCTTGCTCTCCCTCTATCTCCCTCCCTCTCTCTCTCTCTACCCCCTTTCTCTCGCTCTACCCTCTATCTCCCTCCCCCCCCCCCCTCTCTCTCTCTACCCCCCCCTTTCTCTTGCTCTCCCCTCTATCTCCCTCCCCCTCTCTCTCTACCCTCCTTTCTCTTGCTCTCCCCTCTATCCCCCCCCCCTCTCTCTACCCCCCTTTCTCTTGCTCTCCCCTCTATCTCCCTCCCTCTCTCTCTCTACCCTCCTTTCTCTTGCTCTCCCCTCTATCCCCCCCCCTCTCTCTACCCCCCTTTCTCTTGCTGTCCCCTCTCTCTCCCTCCCTCCCTCCCTCTCTCTCTCCCCCTTTCTCTTGCTCTCCCCTCTATCTCCCTCCCTCTCTCTCTCCCCTCCACCCCCTACGGTTTTAGTTCAGTTTGTTTTTGTTGTTTAAGTTTATAACTACTATTTAAGCTGGTGTTTAATATTTCTTTTTTTTTTTTTACAAATGAACATTTGTGACATGACAAAGGATTCCCGGAGCACTACGGATTAGCTATGTGGAGAGATTCACATAGTGGCGGTTCACTTTGAGGCTCTGTTTGCCTCATTGAAAGCTTCCACTCAGCCATGTGAGAAGGAGGAGTCACTCCAGTGATGACTCATTGCAGCTCTGCAAGCAACTGACTCTCTTCAGCACAGCTGACAGTGATGCAATGCTTTACACATGAAAAGGGAGACTAGAGCACCACCTACTGGTTGATTAGAAAAGTGAAAAATATGCAATGTTTCATATTTACCCGAAAATGTAAATTCTTTTAGTCAGGATTGTAATAAAGAAAATATGTACATAACATTGTGGGGGAGATTTACTAAAACTGGATCACTCAACATCTGGTGCATCTGTGCATGGGAGCCAATCAGCTTCTAATTTTAGCTTGTTCAGTTAAGCTTTGGCAATAAAACCTGGAAGCTGATTGGTATCTGTGCAGAGCTGCCCCAGATTTTGCACTCTCCAGTTTTAGTAAATGATCCCCTATATATCAGACAGTGTCGGTGCATGCTTTATAGGTCAGGCAGTGTAGGTGCGCCCTCTATATGTCAGGCAGTGTAGGTGCGCCATCTATATGTCAGGCAGTGTTAGTGCGCCATCTATATATCAGACAGTGTTGGTGCATGCTTTATAGGTCAGGCAGTGTAGGTGCGCCCTCTATATGTCAGGCAGTGTAGGTGCGCCCTCAATATGTCAGGCAGTGTGTAGGTACACCATCTATATGTCAGGCAGTGTCAAGGTGTATGTCAGGCAGTCGGTAGGTGCACCCTCTATATGTCAGGCAGTGTAGGTGCGCCCTCTATATGTCAGGCAGTGTAGGTGCGCCCTCAATATGTCAGGCAGTGTAGGTACACCATCTATATGTCAGGCAGTGTCGATGAATGCTTTATATGTAGATGAGCCCTCTATATGTCAGACAGTGTAGGTACACCTTCTATATGTCAGCGTAGGTGCGCCATCTATATGTCAGACAGTGTATGTACACCCTCTATATGTCTGCCAGTGTAGGTACACCCTCTTATACATCTAATAGTGTAGGTGTGCCCTCAAGGGGCGGACTGACCATTTGGAAACTCAGGCACTGCCCAAGGGCCCAGGGTCAGTAGGGGGCCCCATGAGATGCCCCTGGTACCTTTTTCATAGGCTTTTTTAAGTTTGGGCAAGGACACAGGGGCCCATGATCCCCTATTGCCCGGGGGCCCCATGAGTTGTCAGTCCACCCCCTGGCGCCCTCTATATGTGAGAGACAGTGTAGGTACACCCCTCTATACATCTAATAGTGTAGGTGGCCCCTCTATATGACAGACAGTGTAGGTACACCTACCCCCTATATGTCAGAGTAGGTGCGCCATCTATATGTCAGACAGTGTAGGTACTCCCCATATGTCAGGCAGTGTAGGTGCGCCATCTATATATCAGACAGTGTAGGTGCGCCCTCTATATGTCAGAGTAGGTGCGTCATCTATATGTCAGGCAATGTAGGTACACCCTCTATACGTCTAACAGTGTAGGTGCGCCCTCTATATGTCAGACAGTGTAGGTGCGCCCTCTATATGTCAGAGTAGTGTGCGTCATCTATATGTCAGGCAATGTAGGTACACCCTCTATATACGTCTAACAGTGTAGTAGTGCGCCCTCTATATGTCAGACAGTGTCGGTGCATGCTTTATATGTTAAACAGTATAGGTGCGCCATCTATATGTCAGACAGTGTAGGTGCGCCCTCTATATGTCAGACAGTGTAGGTACGCCCTCTATATGTCAGACAGTGTAGGTACGCCCTCTATATGTCAGACAGTGTAGGTACGCCCTCTATATGTCAGACAGTGTAAGGTACCCATCTATATGTCAGACAGTTTAATATTTAAATCTGAATTCTGGCCTTCCCTTCAGTATTGGACAGTTGTACAGTTTCTTCTCCTGGACTGAAATTGCTCATTCTAAGTTCACTGCACACGGTGAGCTTCTCACAATGTGCATTAGATGCTGAGACTAGAGCCCCATTCCCTGGCTGGGGGATGTCCGCCTTCATCTAACCCTTTCCTTGCCAACCTGACTGTCCTTGGCTCACTCCTTTCATTCATTGTATTTTGGTTCTTTCAGTCATGGAGTAGATGATGTAGCCTGCCTAGGAACGCCCACCCCTCCAGACTAATATCCACCCAGCAAGGCATTTTGATATTTGCATAACTCTTCCCAAGATCCAGCTTCTGCTTATATCGGGCCCTGAGGGCTCTTGAGTGAGGTAGAAAGGTACGGTGCTGTGGTGTTTTCAGGAAGCTATGTACGGCATGCTGGTGGGCTCCCCCCCAGCCATGATCTGCCTGCATTGCATAGAGAAGCACAGAGACCCAGTGATGAACGTTATTGGGTCTAAAATAAAGCATTTAATGAAAAAAAGAAAGGTTTGATTTAAAGACATCATTAGCATGTTAATGAAGGAGGAACCAGGGCAGGCAAAATAGCATCTTAAACTCCAGCTTTAAGTACAGGAAAGTCAAAGGGCACCAAAATAATCGGCGACCCTCGTTGCATGCCTCCTTCTCCAGACCGCCCGAGCAACGTTAAGGAAAACGATCACGCAGCAGAGAAAAGACCTGTTTTTTTTTTTTTTTTTTATCAAAACATGACTGTTCTGCCGCTATTTTGACATGATAGAAAATTATTGATCCAACTCCTCCCCCCCCCCACCACTCCGTACCTCCCCCAATACCCACCGTTATTATCTAGGAATGCACATTGAAGCAATACATATTGAAAAGGAGAAAAAAAAAATAATTACTTTCCCTCGGTGACAGGGGAAAGGGTTACGGACGGCCTTAACAGCTGAACATTATTCCTAAAATTCCCCCATGTAATTAAAAGAGAGGAATTTCCATCGATTTAGGCGTTATGAATAGTCATATTAGCATTTTATACCCTAATGTTTCATACGCTTGTGTAAAAATCTCATATAGTAATGCCGCACAAAAATTAAGGTAAAAGGCAGCTGAGGATCTTTCATAAAGGATTATTTTACACAAGAATTCAGAAAGGGCATTAAATGCAGGACAGCAGGAATTACTACCGGCTTTGAGACGTCTTGTTAAAAATCAAAATTATCAATCAATAGACTTTATTGTACTAAGCTTCTGCTATAAAGATTACTCACAACAGGTTTAACCTGAAAATATGTACCCGTCTACAGCCATGTTAAAGCCCAACCCCAGACAAAAGTCGTCTTTTCCCCTTGTATTCAGTAGGGGGGGAGGGTAAGAGTCTGTCTTTTAATTGCTGTTGTTGTCACCGGGGAGAGTTACCCTCATTTCCTGTTTTGGTGACACCAGGACAATAAGTGAAGGTGCAGGTGTCACCAGCCTTCAGATGTTCGATGCCTTTTGTTCTTTTACAAACCCACGGCTTTGTGCATTGACATCCTAGACCAGGGCTTACAATTTCAAGTCTGAGCTACTAGCCAGGCCTTAGAGTTACTCCGCCACCAACAAGCACACGCAAACGACCACCTGTACACACACACACAGACATGTACACTTTACATACACACAAACACGCACAGAAACATGTACACACACATGTATACACACACAGGCACGTACAGACCACACATAACACAGAACAGTTGTACAACACAGGCCACAAATCTTCCCTCGCTCTTCTTTCTCCCTCTCTCTACTCTTTCCTCTCTCCCTCTCTTCCCTCTCAACCCCTCTCTTCCCCCCTCTCTCCTCTCCACCCTCTCTTCCCCCTCTTCTTCCCTCTCTCCCCTCCCCCCTCTCTTCCTCTCTCCTCTTTCTCTCTCTCTTCGATACCCTCTCGCGCCCTCATTTCCCTCTCCCCCCTCCTCCTCTTTCCCTCTCTCGCCACCCTTCCCCTCTCCGACACTTCTCCTCTCCCTGCTCCAGGCTGTTCCCTGGTCCCGGCTCATCAGCTGCTGGAGGGAGAGGTACAGGAGCATCGCTCTGCAACTGCCCTCCCCCACATCGATTCTCCTGCTGTCCGGGCCACTGCAAGGGTACCGGTGTGACCCCTCTGCTGGCGGCCCTGCATGGCTCTGTCTGCTGCTGCCCAAAAGGTCCCTTCTTCTGGGGAGTGGTGCCTCGAGGTATATATGCCCCTGCCCTGGGGGACACACTCACCCCCCACCATAATTTCCACTCGCCAGTGGCGAGCAGGCAAGTGGAAATTTCAAGCCCTGTCCTAGACCCAGTCTGTCCAGACAGTGTGGTCACCTGCTGACTCGGCACCATCCACAGGCAGCTCAAGTCTTCAATAAGGCACAAAATGTTGAAGCCAATGCATTTTTACTTCACTTAATTGCAGTGCAGAGAATGTTTTTTCCAGTCTTTGGGAGTATAAGAAGGCGATGATTTTAATACGCCCTGTCTTTGTAAATAACTAACACTGACTGAGGGCAAAAGGAAGAAATGGAGCAGTTTTTAACCCTTTCACCTTAATAAATAAAAAAAAAAAAAAAAAAATGGCAGGAGTTACAATTTTAGGCTACGTGGTGACAGCAATACGAAGTGATGAAGAATATTTCCAAAGGGAATCACAGACCTAGCAAACATTTTCCCAACTCTGTCCAACTCTGGAGAAACCCATATGGAAGAAAAAAATATATTTGAAATATATTCTTCCCAAATACATTGACATATATTTGAAATGCTACAATTTTGGCCACATTCCATATATTTCAATATATATATATATATATATATATATATATATATATATATATATATATTTATTATGAATGGGCTACCAATGCACGACAATGAAACATAGGAACATCGGTGAAGATACTACGCAAGTTTACCCAAATTGAGGAGTCTTTGGGAAAATTGGGGAGGCCCATTTCTTATGAATAGGCTGCCAATGCACTCCAATGAAATGTAGGGACATAAGTGGAGATACTGTGCAAATGTATCCAAAATTGGGAAGTCATTGAGAAAACTAGGAAAGCTGATGGGCTGCCAACACACCACATTGGAACATAGGAAGATAAGTGGAGCTACCCCGCAAGTTTACCCAAATTGAGAAGTCTTTCAGAAAATTGGTGTAACCTAGATACCCCCCCAAAGACCAAATTTGACCAGAAAGAGAAACTACCAACAGAAACCCATTAGGCCCCATTCACACTTAAGTTTCGGTTGCAGTGAGTTAATGCACAAACATTAACATGCATTATGGCACACATTACTGCCAATGCACCGCCATGGAATGTACGTGGAGCTACTGTGCAAGTTTAACCAAATTGGGAAGTCTTTTAAAAAACTGGAGAGGCCCATTTATTAAGAATGGACTGTATTAAGAATGGACTGCCAAAACACCACAGTGGAACGTAAGTGGAGTAAATATGCGAGTTTACTCAAATTGGGAAGTCTTTGAGAGAATTGGGGTAGCCGTTTTTTAAAGAATGGGCTGCCAACGCACCACAATGGAACATAGGTGGAGCTACCACACAAGTTTACCCAAATTGGGAAGTCTTTGAGAAATCTGGGGAAGCCCATTTATTATGAATGGGCTGCCAACACACCACAATGGTACACAGATGGAGCTACTGTGTGAGTTTACTCAAAATGGGAACTCTTTGAGAAAATTGGGGTAGCGCATTAATTATGAATGGGCTGCCAATGCACCACAATGGATTATAGGAAGATAGGTGCAAGTTTACCCAAAATGGGAAGTTACAAATAGTTGGTAAGATTGAATAAAGACACCAGTCCATCCAGCTCAACGTGTGTGTATGTGTGTGTGTATTCAAGTCTGAGAAAATTGGGGAAGCCCCATTTATTATGAATGGGCTGCCAATGCACCACAATGTATTATAGGAAGATAGGTGCACGTTTACCCAAATTGGGAAGTTACAAATAGTTGGTAATGTTGAAGAAAGACACCAGTCCATCAGCTCAACATGTGTGTGTATTCAAGTCTTTGAGAAAATTGGGGAAGCCCATTTATTATGAATGGGCTGCCAATGCACCACAATGGATTATAGGATGATAGGTCAAAGTTTACCCAAATTGGGAAGTTACAAATAGTTGGTAAGGTTGAAGAAAGACACCAGTCCATCCAGGTCAACATGTGTGTGTATTCAAGTCTTTGAGAAAATTGGGGAAGCCTCATTTATTATGAATGGGCTGCCAATGCACCACAATGTATTATAGGAAGATAGGTGCAAGTTTACCCAAATTGGGAAGTTACAAATAGTTGGTAATGTTGAAGAAAGACACCAGTCCATCCACCTCAACATGTGTGTGTGTATTCAAGTCTTTGAGAAAATTGGGGAAGCCATTAATTATGAATGGGCTGCCAATGCACCACAATGTATTATAGGATGGATAGGTGCAAGTTTACCCAAATTGGGAAGTTACAAATAGTTGGTAATGTTGAAGAAAGACACAGTCCATCCAGCTCAACATGTGTGTGTATTCAAGTCTTTGAGAAAATTGGGGAAGCCCATTTATTATGAATGGGCTGCCAACACATCACAATGGATGACAAAAACATACATGACCCTTTCTCAAAAACACAGTGTACCACAACTCACCATCACCGTATGTACGGCTTGTGCTGCGCTGCAGTGCATTGGGTTCTACTATACAATGTATTGAGGTGCCATTCACAATGAGTTGCACCACAACGCACCACATAGTGCAAGTGTATCGCCATGTGTTGTAGCAAAGCACATTAACATTCACATTTTAGAGCATGCGCATCGGCCCTTATAAACTGTCGCTGATCGTTGCTTAATAGCTGGAGGAACATTCATGCTCTCCCCCCCCCCCCCCCCCCCCAAAAAAAGCTGGTGTCCATTTCATAAGCACCTCTCATTCGGAGACCTACCAGCTTGACTTACATATAGATTTTTCCCTTATTGGCTTAATACTTCTCCTAACCAGATATTACAGATTGACTGAGGCAGCTGCTGCTCACATTGCGCCGCACCGTTTAGACACCGAAGAGAAAAATGGAAGTAAAAAAAAAGCACTTTCATTGTACCTGAAACACTATGATATGTACTAAATATTATGACTAGTCTGAGCCCTGAAATAATTGATTCACCCACACAGCCGTTTAAGTCGGAGCGCCGTGCGTTTTACAAATTCTATAATCTTTTAGAAATTCTTTCACTGCAGAAAAGATTGTTGCTGGCCTTAAATTCATTACGGTGATTGAATCTTCTTGAATAGAGATCTGTTTAAAAAAAAAAAAAAAAGCGGCGAGCCTGTGAGTCAAACGAAGGCGCAATAGGTTAAAAGCTTGTCTAGGGTGGCATAATTCAACACTTCACTGCCAAAACAACCACATCTTATTCTGACCTTCATAGGATACAAAAAGACGGGAGTGAGAAGATAGAATTTTTTTTTCCTCCCTTTAAGCGCTGTCAGATTTTTTTTTTCCTTTATTTTAATACCCAATATCAGGAGCTCCGTGAATTCCTAATTAAATAGCCAATTAATAATGTAGACTCGGAAAGTGGGGGGAAAAAAAAAAAAGCTATTTTTTTTTTGTTTCAAAGACTAAATTATAATTAGAGCAAGGGTAGGCTAGCTTGTCTTTGTATCCGAGTGTTATGGAGGAGATATATTTAAATATATTGCAACAGCTCGGCCATCAATCACAGTTATGGCTTAAAACATTGAGAGTTTTCCTTTGGCTGTTTGTATAGGTGAATGAGGTGGACTGAATGACAAAGCTGGTAGCAAGTGTCGGCTTGAAGGGGACCGGTCCCTTTTGAGAAGTCTCGTTTGTTGGTTCGATGTAAGTGTAGCACCCTCCTAGATTAGGTTGCTAGTGTGGCTAAGGGTGTGATTATTTTTGGCTGAGGGTGTGATTATTTTTGGCTAAGGGTGTGATTAGGGTGTGATTATTTTTGGCTGAGGGTGTGATTATTTTTGGCTAAGGGTGTGATTATTTTTGGCTAAGGGTGTGATTATTTTTGGCTGTTTTGGGTCTTACTGGCTGCAGGCCCATCTACTTTACCCTGCCTTCTAGAATGTAGTGGCCTGGAGGAGGCAGACCCTGGGCTTGAATATTCATGCAGCCTTAGACAATCTGCAGGCAGGTGTGGTTTGTTTTCTCCACTGAAGGTGGCGCTCATACCGACTGGCACCTCAGCCTGGAGAGCAAGTCCAAAAGAAACGTTTCTCTATGGTTTCCTGGGTCAATGGAGCTCTGGTTGGCTACGCTGCACCCATGTGACCCTCGCTGGCCATCCTGGATCTAAATCCCTGGGTTTTGGCATACATCTGGCATGTGACTAGTGTAGGGAGGAAGCCCCTATTTGTTTGAGAAATTACTAGTGATAGAAAAGGTTCCTGAAGAAGAGGGAAAGATTAGGGTTTCACTATCCTGGAAAAGAGCTTCCTTTTTGGAACCGGACAGCCCAGGCCATGCTTCACCCTTTCAAACAGATGCTGTTGGCATCCAGGGGCGGACTGACAACTCATGAGGCCCCCGGACAATAGGGGATCATGGGGCCCCTGTGTCCTTGCCCACACTCAAAAAAGCCTATGAAAAAGGTACCAGGGGCATCTCATGGGGCCCCCTACTGACCCTGGGCCCTTGGGCAGTGTCCGAGTTTCCAAATGGTCAGTCCGCCACTGTTGGCAGCTCTCCTCCT